TTTTTCCATTTTACTCATTTCATAACTATTAATATACTTACTGACAGACATTATCTTTGTCATATTAACAATTTTGTATCCTGTTATATCAAAATTCATTCAGAATGAATTATTTAATTAGGTGGATGGAAGACATAAATCTCTGGCAAATGTTATCGTTCTTCATTTAGGACTTTGACCATACTTATTCTAGAATTGTTATTCAGTAAAATATCATTCCAAAGTTAATCAGAATAACTCTAAATATGCAAACGTTTCATTACTATCGGTATTCTTCTGACATATTTGTTCAAAATAGCGACCGACATTTATTTGGGATATCGCGCAGACATTGTTTAACTTCTGGGCTGATATTAGATGATTACAGGCAATCAGCAGGAAGCCACAACTTACCTGAGTTTCATGCTAGTTGGCACTCACCAGTCAGCAAGATGTACCTGCAACCTTGAAGGAACTCATTTCCCTTCTGAGGTTCAAACCCGCCAATTGCTTCTAACCATCTAATATCAACAATTCGAAGTGTACCGTGATGGTCAACCATCTAGCATGGTGCCTACATTGCAAACTTGACTGTAAGAATTCAGTCTGCACCAAAAGATAGGACTAGACACATTACACTAGTTACTAACCAGTGTCCACTCAAAAGTACTTCTGAGTTTGAATGGTTTTTGAAGTGGTTTGCATACAGAAGAGAAGACAAATAGAATTTATGGAGTTGGTAATAACATAATCTAACAAAAACGCTTATTTTAGAGTTGATTGTTACATTCATGATACGTGTAATATATTTTATTTGGACATTAAACTGTAAATTGAAAAATATTTTTATGATGTATTTATCTGGAGGGCTTCAGAATTCACGCTGGTGGGTAATATTAAATGTTGCTTTGTAGTTATATCTAGGCTTTCGACTTCAAAATTAAACATATAAAGCTGCATATTCATGGTATTTATGCTGCTATACGTGACCTTTTGGTTTCGCTTGTGACCGAGTGAGTTTCACTCAGACTGGGGCAGTCATTTCATCACATAAGTTATCTTGCATGAAGTAAGAAGCTACCAATGACAAAAGCAATTTTTTAATTAAAAAAATTTTTAATGTTTTATCTTCTTTCTTTAATAACTTGAGGTGAATTATTTCACCAAAAACCATCATAAGTAGTAAATTAATAAGTAAAGAAAATTAATTCTTTCTAGGATCTTTCTGTAAAACAAGTTTCCTTTTTCAGTATTCTTTATATATGTAGAAAGTCGATTTTAATAAGTTTAACTTTTATCAGTCATATACGACAAATATTTTAAAACTGTTATACATAGAGATTTTCTTTCAAACTTATAGTGAGAACAGGGATTTTATAGCTAAAATGACGGCATTACATATTCCCATTAAAAAGGATGCATAAAGCAAGGGAAATTGATATCTACAGTCAGTAATGATTTTAATTTATATATACCTACTGTAACACTAAATTAACATTACCGATGGCTGTTGAATCGATCTTGTTGCCCAGTCGGATATATCACATGCACAGTTAAATTACTTCACACCAACGACACACTTGTTTTACGAACAACGCATCATGCAATTTATGCATGTCTATACACATACACAATGACATATTACCACGGGTAGATGATATAACACAGACATACACGTATATGTAGATATATATGTAAATAACACTGAAAACTAATGTCTTATGACTTAGTGCCGCGAAATGAAAACAGGAAAAAGAGAAAAACACTCAGATCAATGATATTTTTACTTTAATTATTGTTTCATTTTTCTTGTTGAATTTCGGATTGTTAGTTCCATTTTTTGCGTTTATAGACACCATTTTCTTTTAATTTTTGTAAATTACAGGTGCGTAGAAAAAACGTAAGTCAAAAAAATGAAAACAAAAAAGGAAAATGACCAAGAGCAGAAGACAAAGGTTTGAAAGGGATCCAGTTTAGATTATTTGTTGCAGTTATCATTGAAAAAAGTAATAATATTAATGATAATGATACTTAAGGCATATATGTATACTTATGGACAAAGAAATAACATGATTGTTATTCAAATGATCAGTTGAGTGATTAATTAATTGATTGATTGTCTGAATCAGTTGAGTGATTAGGCATTTTTGTTCTGTTATTTTACTTATTCGTCTATCGTAGTGAAATTAGTGCAGAAAGTATTCTAGATTGAAATTATTTGTATGATTGTCTGCTAATCTTTACTTCTATTTTACAAGATGCATGCATCTCTTCACATGCACATATGTATAGCGCATAACTGTAGAATTCATAAAAGGGTTGAATGTACGAGAATGAGGATGAAAACACTAAACAAATGTATGTATGCGTGATGTATTCCAATTTTTCATGTCTTTAATAGAGGGTAACCTCAATTACACTGTGATTTGGTATAACTTTAAAAATGTCACATTTGACTGATATTTTTTCAGTGTTATAATGATAATACCATAAGCCATACCAAATCAAAAATCAGAAAAGTGAGCAAACATGTGAAAGGAAGGGAAAATAAGGAGTATGCAGTTAAAAAGAAAATAAGAAAAATACTAGATATTTAAATAGTATTAAGTGCACTTTGCTTTAAACATCTTCAATTGTTTTCAAAATTTATTCAATCCAAAGGAAATTTTACACTTCATTGATATCACACAGAGAAATAAATATAGATAGTCAAAATGAAAAGTATTCAGATCGAAGTTTTACTGTGTAAAGTATGAGACATTGTGCTTTAGTAAATTATACAAAGTAAAGAAAAAAGAGTAAGTAGATGAAATTATAATTAAATGATGAAAACAAACAACAGAACAGGGGGGTGGTTACTGTGCTACTTCAACTCACACTTATCATATGTGTATCCGTAACTTTAATTTCATCAAATTCACAGTTTATTCCTATGTGAATGAATTTTATATTAAACATACAATTAATATCACTGACCATACTAATAGTGATACGGAGATTTTTTTTGTGCAATTTCTGCTACCACATGCAAACATGCATATACTTTGAATCATTTAGATGTGTACAGGATACACGTATTGTGTAGTGATTAAGGGAAAACAAAGTCAGAATAGAATTGTAGGAGGAAAAGCACAGAAACGTTTGATAGTTAGGTAGATAATCACCTGAGTATATTTCCTTTTGACAAGGGATGAAAACACAAAATACTCTCAAAGAAAGAAAAATACAGTAAAATATGGATTCCGTCAAAATCAAGGAAAAATATAATATCAGTTGAATGAGCAAACTTGTCTTTCGTAGTTGTATTATAAGCATATTTGCAAGCACACAACCACACAATCACGCATATGTCTACTTCAAATGTAAGCGAAGACATATAAATTAGGAGTTATTTACGTTTCCAAAGATTCTCAATGAAAGTATAATGTAAATATACATGGCATATGATACACTGAAAAAGTTTTATCATTACTGTTTTCTTAGGGTAGAAGAATACAGTTACATAACAATATATTATTTGACTAGGTACGATCACATAATTATGTAGGCTGATATTCATGTGAATCAGATTCAGGACATTGATATTAGTTATTTTGTGGGTGATTTTCTGCATCCACCGTGCTGTTAGCCTGTAAAAATACATTGTATTGTTATTGAAATTCGGTCTGTGCTTAATTGTATGTGTTTGAGCAATCTGGCAACATGCCAGATATTGTTAGATACTTTGTGTTGGTTCGCTTTCTTCGTCTTCACATACGCGCATACAACTTTATATATGCACACGCAAAATGAACACAAAAAACGTCTTATTTTTTATACTGCTGCTGCTGCGGCCATAACCATCCTGACTGTTAGTACAAACACATAAAACAAACAATATAGAAGAAAGTTTTTCAAGAGGAGAGTAAATTCAGCTGACTGAATAGAATTTAGCTGAGTTATTTTTAATTTTGATAATAATTGTCAAGAAAATAGTAGTAAGAGAAAACAAAACTCGAAATACATAATCATAATTATCTTATCACTCCTTCGTATTACTTATAGCACAACAACAGAAAAAGGCTGACGAAACGTTTTTACACACAAAAATTAGACAAGAAAAAAGAAACACTGTTGAATGCTGAAATCATAGGCGGTCATTGGTACTGTTTGAACGAAATTTTACATTTGAATACATAATTGTTGGGTATACGTATATATATATATATATTACGTGTTTATATTATAGGAAAAAAGTATATAATTCAAGGGTGTAATTAATCATGCGTCAGTTTTAGAAATAAAAAAGGAAGAATTCGCACCTTATTTTCATATTATACAAAATAAAATCATTAGACCTTATAAAATTATCAATCAACATTGCAGTTAGACAACGGGGAAAACATGAAGTAATTAGGGATGAACGTCACGGTGATACAAAACTGAGAGAGAAAAAAAAGAAGGAAAATTAAAAACCAGTAAACATATTCATCGATAGATGTTGATTTGTTTGCTTATATTGTTTGTTTGGAAAGACAATCATGTTTGAAAGAAAACAGAAATATCTGAAACATACATTGATTCACATAGACACACGTTTATTGAAAACAGTAACTGACAACACGTAAAACATCAAAAGTCAAAAACATTTGAGGTATGAATAAAATAAGAAGAATATAGACATGGAGATTATGTTGATACGAAAAACACTGATGAAGAAAAAAGGGTAATAGATTACAAAACATAACAGTATGCATGCAACACATAGGGGGAAAAATAGGACATCAACTCCGATTTGGGCGAACAAGTGTTTTCATTTTGTCCAAATATCATATGATAGAAAGTTGTATGTGAACAGAGCGAAGTTAAACACATTCAACATTACTCCATATATAAATAACAATATGTATGTATTTTAAATATTGATATTAGTCTCTGTTTAGATTACAATATTTAAGTCATGGAGATCACATTAGCATAAGGAGGCAGAATGGCAGTTGGAGGTAAGAAGACTGAAAGCGGCTGTGATAAAGGACACTCACCTGGGGATAGATAATATCCAGGCAAGTAAGCATAGGCACTTGGCTGACGTGCTGTAATTGGTGATGTGGCTGTTAGTGTGTAGGTTGCAGCTGCAGCTGCTGCGGCCGCCGCTGCTCCATTCAACTGCCCAGGTAGAAAGTGAGCTACAATAAGGAAACATAATAGCAGAAAGTGGAAAGTCGACATTACATTTGATAAATACAAAATGGAAAAATTAGTGACATCTGTCCTTTTCTCACTCTCTTCCATGGCATAAAGTTCAGTTGAACTATGCTGTTTATGATTGTGCTATCTTTATAAAATTAAAGAAATACTTTTAGTGTCTTTGTTTCGTAGCAAAAAGCAGTAGAATCAAGAATGTGCATTTCGCCACATTTGAGACTCTTCCTTTAGATGCGCCTGCATTCCCAATAAATAGTGGTTATCTCACCGAGCTCCAGTCCTGCTCTCATCATTTCACTAGGTCACAAGATTCACCTCTATTGTTACGGGTATTGGTTATTATCACTTTTTTAATCTGAGTTTTGTATTTCTTGTTGTTTGATTATTTGGAGAGAAACGCTCGGTTTCTGTTGATATATCAGCTCTTAGTACGGATGCTTCTACGATGTCTAAGGATTAACGTGGTTATTTTACTTTGTGGTGACTAGCAGTGGGATCCTAGATGTGTATTTCACCAAAATTAACTTCATGTTTACCTTTAGAAATCGTTGAAGAGTTCGTTCTATAAGTCAATATTTTAACGGGTATCAAGCGTTTCGCTTCACATAATCAAAGATATAAAATTAAGGTAAGAAAGAAATAACTCTGCACTTGTCTATTTGCTTTTGTTTTATGCAGTAATCCCGAAATGAGTAACGCAACCAAAGGAATTCTGTTTTTCCTCAGAAAAAGGGATAAAAGTAATGTTAAACTTAGTAAGACACGACAGTAGATAAATAATAAAGTATACGTATTACTTACGAAGTGGTGCACGAATGAACTGATGTCTTTGTTTTATCAATGTATTATTTGTACTCATCACTTCTTTTGGAACAGCTTTTTTAGCTTCGACCTTTAAAAAGGAAATAAGGAAATTATCATATTTTTTACTCAAAGCCAATATTAAAATGAAAACATTAAAATGTCATACGGTTAATAATAAACTGGTGAATGAGGTAATCTTAACGACTGATGTAACACAGCATTAAATTATTCTCCATATACGCAGCTTGACTAGGGATCAAAATTGGGTGTTAATTAGATGATTTTCTTGAAATTACAGTATTTAGACAAAAATTTAGTGGATTTGATGACGGTTGTTTTCCCTATTAGAAATCAGTGATAAGGCTTATAAAATTAAAGGTTCGGACTGCTCAGTGTACACATAAATTCAAGTTATTGAGACGAAATGGTAAACTGAAGCCTGTACTAATTGACTATCCATGATTAGATTACGGGGAAATCAAAATATTAATTTCTCTTAGAAGATATTTTTCGCTAGCTTCTTTAAACTCTATAGACATGGAGTTAACTTTTCCAGTTTTTACGTCATACTTTTGAAATTTCCTCACATTCTGTAACACATCATTCCAATCCTCACATATAAATAATTTCTATTCAGTCCACAAGCTGCTGCTTTCCTTGAATGACAAGTATCGATATTAGAGAATGAATTATTGTCTTTTTCCAAGCACTGTGCTATTTTCTTAAATCTATCACATACGAAGGCTACAAAAGACATTGATTATATCACTAAATTCAAATTCATATAGAATTTATAACCTTCGCATTCGTTTATTATCTCTCAAGGTTACATCATTTGAATATTTAGCTAAAACAGAAATATTCGATTGTTGCTAAGCAACAGAAACTAATATGTTGATAGTAATATTTTGAACTGTTTGACCGTAGACTCTTTTACGCAAAGAATACTACATAAATGATTACACGTTTGTTGAAATGGAACAAATTATTTTTTATTAAAATAGCATTTCACTAAATTTACAGTGTAATACAGTTACTTCGTAAAAACCGTAAAATGAAATGGTGTAGTTTAACAATAATAGTGACAGACTGATATATTTATATTCTTTCTTACTAAATAAGCAGTTTTCTGTTTGTGAACAGACTATTTTAGAGAGTCTCAGTTTGCCTGACAGAATTAACAAAAACAGACTATGTTAGTCGAGACATAAGCATACGAACTGCTATCTTCCATTTCTACTGACTGTTTTAGGATTCCTCTGTAGATGAGGTTTTCATTTCAACTTAATTAAATGTCCTTCGGAATTTTTTCTTTGCACAGCGACCCTGTTTTAACTGCTCGCAGCTAGAAAACTAGGAGATCCAAGTGTCATTTATTGATTTATAAGGCTAGTAATTTATTTTGATTACAACTAGATTTATTACTAATAACTATATAACAGTGGCTAAGACTTCGAAATCACACCGAATATAAAAGTTGAATATTCAAAACTCTTGCCTAATCTAGGAAGAGTGCATATAGAAGTTGGCTGAGTTTTGTTATACGCTATAATTCATTTACATCCATTGAATAGGCACGATGAATTAGTTTCTCTACTATAAACTAGTATTAAAGTGAAATATAAAAAGACATTAAGTAAAATTATAGACGTATGGATGAAGTCTTCTTTTAACTGTGATACGTTGCTAACATACTGATTTTACGTGTATGTGACGTATTCAGGAGTTACTGTCTTCAGTTTAAAAGAGAAAATCTGTAGCCTTTTTTTCACGTATCGATTTGATGAATTGGCATTTAATAATCCTAACAGTGAATAGTTCAGCAAAAGAAAACGAAAGAGGTTTCGTGTTAATTAGTTAGACACAAAGGATTTTTTAAACTTCATTTTTATCCCATAAAGACTGGGAAAGATGATATAATAAATAATTTAGTACAATAAAATTTGTGAACAGAAAGAATTGTAATAGAATAAAATTGGTAGGTTAAGAAACTAAGATAGAATTAGTTGAGGATTGTACCATGAGCTGAGAGTTAGAGAACCATTGGAAAATCTGGAAGCACTGGATACCCAATACTTGAAATTTGGTCTGATGCTCACTAACGACTGGTCCCATTCAGGCAGTGACCTGGGGTTCTAGTTGGAAGACATGACCGGTAGGGTTCAGCAGTTTGAAGGTGAGGCAGTATCTCATCGAAGAAGACATTGCGAAGTGGTCACACTATGTAATGAATTGGCAGAAGTTAGAATTCATGGGTCATTTGACCGAGTGCCGATGGCTCAGTGGTCTACGAGTTTGCCTTGCAACTAGAAGGTCCTGGGTTCGAACTCTGGTTGTGGGTGAGTGCTGCGGAAGAGACCCAAACTAGGCTAAACAAACAGATGTCCAGTACTCTCAGGTATTCCAATGGTTCTCTAACCAATGTCAGCTCATGATGAAATACTACAACCAATCAAACCAAAAATCCCTGCAAAACCATTATGATAGAATTGTGAAGTTAATTTATTGGAAAAATGGCATTCTCGGCATTTCTCAAGTCTATGCAGTAAAGAGAATAAAAAAGTGAGGATTACTGTCTATCCTTAAAAACGAAACAGAAAATTGAAGTTCGCTATGCATATACTTTTGAATCAGTTGACTGAGATTTTGTTAACACACTATTAAGTCATTATATTCTCATACATAGATACGTGAAAGGAATTTAAGTGTCCGCATATATGCTATGATGTACATGCCGGTAAGGAAATATATGGACATGGTACTTGTGATGAGTAAAATAAAAAACCTAAAGACTGAATTTTTGTTTACCGTGAACCAATTTTAGGTTTCTAACTGAGTTCTCATAAGTTAAATACAGCTGTCGACTGATTATGTTATCTTGGATATCAGAACGAGGTGCAGTTCAGACAAAACAAAATTATCATTTTATTTTTTTTCACTAATCAAAAATTTACATATTAGCTATTCATTCTGATAAAAATTTACATAAGAGTGATTAATATGAAATCCCCAGTTCTCAGTTTTATCGATCTATGATTTGACACAGACAAACATAAATAAACCACAAATTACCAAATGAAAGAGGCCAAATTAGGTCAAAACAAGACATACAAATCAGTGACAAAGCATCTGTATGAATGTATTACACTTCTTCTGTGCAACAGGATTTAGTCTGAACATACAAGATGTATCTTAACCAAAATGATTTGTCATTTTATACCAGTTAAGAAAAAATATTTCTGTTTTATAAAGAATGAAGCAAAAAGACATGAAAAGTGGTCCTGGAAGAAAAGAGCTGTTGGAATTCAGTGAACTACAATATCACAAAAATTCCTATAAAATGCTTTTATTGAGGTATATTCGAATGAAATCCTACTTTTAGAGTAATAGACAGTGTCAATTAAGTGAACATGGAAAAACTGTTCATTCCAACCTCAGTAATTATATTACGGACTTTGGAAATAATATTAATAATGTCAAAAACACAGTAAAGCAAATAGATACAAGTATAATTCCATAATGGATAAGATTTTATTTTGATAAATCACACAGTGTAGTACAGTTATATTAACTGATCAGTTAATATAACTGTACTACACTGTGTGATTTATCAAAATAAAATCTTATTCATTATGGAATTATACTCTACCACAGTGCCCAAGTTTTATACTTATATCAATAGATACAAGTATTTCTTATGACTGTGGTCTTGTGTACTTGCAAAAAAGAAAAGGTTCAACTATGCTGTCAACTTGTTTTGTGTATGATGTGAAAGTGGTTTTGTTTATTAAATACCAACAGGTTATTCATTGTTAGATCGTTGGAGGCAATCGGCTGGAAGCCATACCTGACCTAGGTTTCATGTTAGTTGGCACTCACCAATCAGCAAGACGTGTCTGCAACTTCCAAGGAACTCATGTCTATTCTGAGTTTCAAAACCGTGCCATCCCCAGTGCTGCAGTCAGAGACGTTACCACTGAGCTATTGGGGCTCCCGATTGACCTCCTGTATGACTGCATGGGATATTGTTGATTGGACACTAGTTCATAACTAGTGTCATATGTTTGTGTATCTAGTCATATCCTTGATGCAGACTTAATTCTATTAATCGGGAGCCCAAATAGCATAGTTTTTATGTCTCTGACTGCAGCACTGAGGGTGACACGGGTTCGAATCTCAGAAGGGAAATGAGTTCCTTCAAGGTTGCAGGTACGTCTTGCTGACTGGTGAGTACTAACCAGCACGAAACTTAGGTCAGGTGTGGCTTCCTGCTGATTGCCTCTAACCATCATCAAACCATTGTGCACCGTGATGGTGAGCTACCTAGAATGGTAGCTACATTGCAAACCTTACTGATATAAATCAGTCTGCACCAAAGAAAGGCCTAGACACATCACACTAGTTACTAGTGTCCAATCAAAGTTTATTCATTAGGTGAATGAGTTTTACGCTAGTTTATGCTCACTTCCTAGAAGTACTTTTACATACTGTGAAAACATGCACATGTTAACAGCAGATTATTATAATGAAACTATTTCAGACAGTTTGAACTATAATCTCTTTACTATATTCAGTCATCAAAACGTGTGGTAGCTTGCACAAATTTTACTGTTTTAAAGGTAAAAATAATATCAAAGGTTACAGATTATTGTTCGTGGAGTTTTCGAATACACTTATGCACACTATGAATCACAATTTATCTAAAGTGTTTTTATCATGCAGTTGTTTTGGCTCTCAAGACAGAAATTAGCCAAATGTACATTAGCCCGTGGTAATAAACAGATGACGCTTATCGTTAAAAACCATTTTTCATGAGACAAATACTATTCCTCAGTTGTGATCTTCTGTCCTGTGGATTGAGTAATCCAAAATATCAATGAGCAATAGCTATTATTTAAGATATTCATATTGTTTATGTGGGAAGGGAACAGTTGAATCCTATAGATCCTGAATACATCTATGAAACAAATTCATCACATATTTTAAAGGATTAGTGAATATATACATACGCATATATCAACTGCAAATTACATATACGCTGGAGTATATTTCAAAGAATTCAACCAATATTAGCCTAACCTTCTTATGAAGAAAACATTTATTAGGATACCAAATACATTCATTGACCAAAAAGATCAATTTGTGTACCTAACACTAGCAGATAACAAGAAATGTTTTATGGCATCTAATATAATCCATATGGCTGTTGTAAAGTCGCAGTTGATCTATGCATCCAGTGAAGGTTTCAGTATTAAACGAACTTATTTGAATTCTCCTAGAATGATATAATTGTATCTCCTGACAACCATTGTCATGATTGGTTATTATTATACGTCATTTTTATTGACTTTCTTGTCATGTGATTTATTCTTTATTAGTTGGTAAATTTGGTCTATGGTAATGTGTTTGTGCATTGGTGATTCATTTGAGTAAAACGCTTCTAGAAATACTGTGACATTTTTGGTGTTTCTTCTATGTACAATTTCTACATTATCGAATCAAATTAACGTCAATAATTATATACATGCAGTGAAATGGAAGATATTGACTAACTTACCATTTTATTATGCAAATCATGAAAATGGATTTCACAGACTTTTTCTGCTGCCTCTTCAGATTCAAAGGTGACGAAACCAAAGCCTGAAATGACAAACAAGCATTTGAGTTTAATACAATGTTTTTGGAAATATATGTATATATGATGTCAAAGATTTCCAAGAAAAACACCATACATTATGGTTGGGAATATTTTAAGAATTATCTTTCAGATCTTATAAACATTTCGATAAGAAATCATAGTGGTACATATGATTATCACTCGTATCCATATATATATATATATATATCAAGATCAACTGTATCACTGTGTACTTCAAATAAATCTACTTAATGTAACATACTTGGTATGCGTTTTTATGCCAACGGATACGTTACGCAGAAGCATATGTAGAATTTAGAAGTGTTAGAATGACCAGAATTAACTTCTTATAAGACGAATACTCGACTGATTAATATTCCTCTAAAATTATCTTATTATCCAGATATTAAACCAGCCTGGACGTTTACCTTTTCATCTTTTGTAATTTACTGTTTTGTTTTTATTGTCACCTTTGTACTCGAATTTAACAGACTGAGAAGTGGTGCACTAATAATTTTGCACCTCATTAGCTGGTTAGAAATTTTCTTAGTTTTTATCCTAAGGAATAACAATGAGATTCCCTTTTTCCTCTAAGTTGAGAATTATTCTTTATCTATAATCACTACAGAAAGAGGCGATTAATATTCAAGACAGTTCTTTTTATTATTAACATTGTTAGTATAATTTAGTTCAACAGTGCACATTTGTTCTTTTCAATGAATGCACCCTAAATAAAGCAGGACAAAAGTGTTCATTTCAAAGATAAAATAGAAATTATTATCTCTAAACAAAATCATTTTTTTTCTCAACGAAGTGCAAAACTGTTTCAAACTGTCTACTAAAACTTTTTTCAACTCATAAGATATATAAACAAATAAGTGCAAAATTATGAAGTAAAGTTAAATTGAACCCTATTTGCTGCTTTGTTCACGTTAAAATAAAGTTGATTTAATCGATCACGCTATTTAATAGCCCTCTGTATAATAACTGAGAAGGGGAAGACTTCATTGGATGTGCAGAATTCAAGGAGTCATAAAATCTAATCCCTTGTATATGTAATCCAAAAAATGACTAAGATAAGCTTTGATATTTAGAGGATACAATGAAAATGATTTTGTAGTAATTGAATAGATAAAATTATTAAATATTTAAATGCAGTCTCTTAACCATAAAGTTATCCCGAATTGCAGTACTTAATATCCTTTCCCATCTGAATATAATACTTACTATTCAGAAACCATTTGTTATGGATGTACAATGTGCGTCGGTGGTACAGTGGTTAGGACTCTCGCCGACCATGAACATGGTTCGGGGTTCGATCTCCTGCCGACGCACACCTGATATCTATGGTCGGCCTGCAAAATTTGGGCTACCGATATCACATGCTGAAAATTCCATACCTCTACCAAAAAACATGGTGTGGAATCAATCTGTAATCAAAAAATTTTTAAAAAATGCTCACTAACAGTTCATGCATAAAAGCAGTCTACCACTGACCACCATCAAACAAATAGCATTATATCAAGGAATTGTTAGAGCAACTGTGTTATGATGCGACATGACAACGGAAACCGAGCATTTTGCTTGTTGAAACCATTGCACAGGAAATTCGAAAAATATAATTTCAGTGAATATAAGTGTGTACACTGGCAGTTTAAATTTGTTAAAAATATTCTAAATTTGCAATAGGCAGAGAAAAGTCTAATTTCATACTGAGAAATTTTAGTTGATGGGAAACCGATTTCCGACTAGAGGATAAGACAATTTACTGACTGTTTTGTCACTGTATTTTTATTTGCTGTGTAAAGAAACAGCATGTTTATTACTGGTTTTAGATGAATAGCATGACACAACTCGGCTAACAGACACCTCGAATTCCAGAACATAAATGAGTTATTGCACCATTTTAGAGACTTATTAATTGAAGTGAACTGGAAATATAAATAATTATCAGGTCTATAAAGTTAGTCGATATAGTACGGTTTTTCAAGTATTAATTTGTAGGGATAGTACAGCTTATCCAAAACTCAAATTTCGCTCTTATATACATGTGTGGTGAGAGCTGTCTACTAGCCAAATTGGTAGACAGTAATTTACGTCAATATTTACGTTCCCAAGATTTGTCGTGAGAAAATGTGAACAAAGATTGATTCAAAACCGACCACAGCAGACTTTGCGTAGGCGGATGCAGTTAACATATAGAGGATTTGACATTCAAGAAACAGTCACAAATAGATGAAAGATTAACTTTACGTGAGAAACAACCAATCGGAAGACTGTGTTTGTTTGCTTAAATATCCATAGTAATGTACATGAAAATATATAAATATGCGTTGATTTCCTTAATAAATGATCTATTGCCTGACTCTTGCCTTCTGTCGTTACACATGGAGAAAAATATTCTCCTACATATATTCACAATGGTCATCAACATAATCAAAAATAATAAATATAGTGGTAATCGCTTCAACTCAGCTTACCTCTATGTCGATTAGTTGACTTGTCCATCATTAACTCACACGATTCCAGCTGTTAAGCAAAAAGAAAGTTGAGAGTTCAACGTTTAATAAAGGATATATTTATAAATTTTGTGTTGGAATGAATAACGCAATACAAATAAAACATTGCATTTTGTCTTAGATATTTTAGTTTAAATCAATGTATTTTAAGATGTATTTCATTGTCCTGAACTAGGATATGATAATGATTGATTTCATAACAGAAGACAACTATAGAAAGACAAGCTTTTACACAATTTTCCTAATAAGGAAATGATAATAATGCTTTTTTTCAGATATGTTAACACTTAGTACAGAAAATCTCAGAGTATTTAGATATAAAATATTTCCTCTTCGAACAGGATCTACAGGTAAATTAATAATTTGGAGCATATCGTGTGAAGCAGTGTTGTTTCAAATAAAAAAATTCAATCCTCTACATTTTACCTACATTTCCTTCGAGAACTGTGTAGCCACTTTTCGAAAGCTAATTAAAGATATGCACAAGTTTATTTAGTGATAAATGGATACAACTGCATTACTGAAATAATAGGAAATGCAGAAAGTTTTAAGAATTATGATAGATGGACATTTTTGGTAGCCCAGTAATTTGAGTAGATGGCCAGTTTGGTTTCTGATTACATTAATTACATATTTTATGTGTGAAATTTATTCCAAAAGTAATCTATCTATCTACTACTTCATAATTCGATTACAGTATAGTTTTATACACTTGCAATACATCATTGGGGACGAAAGTGCATCCATCTAAAGAATCTCAAATAGAATAAAAGCAAGTCTTAGTTTCAACTCCTAGCCAATATCAAATAAGTAATATAATGCTATAAACTTAAGAAATGGAGCAGTGATCGTCAAAGATTAATGTGATATAAGATACTCTTAACCATTAACGATAATTCTGAGCTGAATCTAATGCATCATGAGATGAGCATCGAATTTTCTAAGTAAAAAGTTGGCTTACACAGGAATTTTACTGACTTTTGTCATAAACTACTCCTCAAGCCACCGATGCCATTTTGGGCAAATTTATAACATTTCATTTCACAGTCTTTCGTATTTATGAATAATAATCATGCCATACATATAGTCATATTTCAGTAAAAGTAGTTAATAGGTTTCGGAAAATAATAATAAGATGAGTTCTATGAATAAAAGAGGTGACCATTAGATTCACTTTTATTCTAAAGATAACTGAAAAGCTAAATAATGTAACCTCAGATCATATTCACTAGTCAAATGAAGAAATAGGAATAAGTAGACTATAAAAAAATCTTACATAAAATTAAAAACTTCCAGCATTTAGGGGAATGAAAACTGGTTATTTGACAGAGTGTGGATGCTAAACTAGACTCCTTATCATGGATGAACTGCATTAAAGGCAAGATATGACTATCGAGAGTTAAATAGATCGTATAAGAGAAATTTTTGTAGAACCTAAAATATCAACGCATGCAAATGATTGTCTTTTTAAAGGCGATTTCTTTTCCTGAAATCCATACCTTAGTCAATGAAAGCAAACATAAGAATTCAGCCACTGTGATTCAGTAAGTTGAATTCATTAAACTGATGTAAGCAAGTAAACTAAAGGACAAAACCGTATTTGCTTTTATTTCAGGAAGAGTATCAGTTACGCTCATCCCTTCAGTATTAAATTGAACAATAGGGTGGATTTTATAAAAATACAAAAAGCTGATTAAAAAAGTCATTCTACTATCACTATGACAACAAAAACCAACAGTGATAGATAAAAAGATGGATGAAGAAAATCAAAAAAGACAGAATAAAGAAAAATAGTGCCAGTGAATAACTGAAAAATTGATTGAATAAAGTAATAACCTGGATGTCATACTTCATTACAAACCATATTGATTATTAGTGCACGACTGATAGATCTCTGGGCAGTTTCACAAGATGGCAAAATACAATTACTTTATAGCATCAAAAATTGCATGACTAAGATTTATCACTGAAATACTATTTTGTGAGAACTTATTTATAAATATTTCATGGTGGAACAGAAGAACATTTTAGTTCACAAGTGTAAACAGTAATAAAATTAAGAGTTCTAATTTTGTTTATTGTTTATGTTGACAAAAAACTGTTTGATGGAAAAGCAAGACTCGCCTGTCTTTCCTACTTCTTCCTCTTCCCTATAACTCATCTCATCTACCTTACTATCTGCTACTATTTATAAAAATATAGTTCATTTATAGCGCCAAACAGGATAATTGTTAAGTGTTCAAAGAGAAGTAACTTAGCTGTAGTTTTATCACACGCAAACTAGTGATAAATTTAATAAAGAAAACTTTTTCTTATATCTTTTACAAGATAATACCACTGTGTTACGTGCCTTAACCTAATGATCTTTTCGTTTGAGATAGCTTACTGAATTTTAAACGACTTTATTATAGAGTAAAGCAGAAGCTATTTCGATTTCTAGAATGCTTTCAATTTGTCTCTAGAATTAACATTTTAGAGATTAGGCTTTAATAAAAGAGTAAGTTTATCTAGAAAATGGGATGCATTTGCACAATACATTTTGAAAAATCAAATCATACAACTACCTACCATGTCGATCTGTGTGTAAAGGAAGAGATGAAAAGCCAGTTCAAGTAAAATAATAATGAATATGAGAGTATGGATGATAAGAATAAGATGATGTTTGACCAATGTAGGTTAAGTGGAAAACTAAAAAGTTTCACTTAACTGTAAGCTTGACCATGGCTTCAAAATACTCCACTATATGTCGCTGGTGGTTTTTGCATAGGATATTGGAAGCTGTTTCAGCTTTAATCTTATGACTAATGTCAACAGTATGCTTTGCTGTGGTGGAGGCTGATAGTCTATTATTTGTATTCATCAAGGCTTAGAATTTCAGTTTTTTAGATGTCATTTAGTACATCTCTTTTGTCATCACTTATTAAGCGCGATTAATTCCTCCTATATGTGTGTCGACACATTCAATAACTTCAGAGTTTGAAACTATCCATGATTGTGACTGTGGAAGTCAGTAAGAAAAGATTTCAGGGTATTTATCCAATAAGGTTTCAGTCAACTAATTTCACTTTCTTACGATGAAAGAGAAAATCAACAAGGGTCTGTGTGCAATTATTTTAGACAAAAAAGTCAAAAGAATAATTCTTCCAGTAGGGTTTATTGTCTCTGTTCAGTTATCCAGTGGAACTGAGCACTTACCAAGTTGTAAAACATTTTAACAGATGACATGTTTGGATTGCAGTAGCTCTGGTAGTCTGATGCATTACAATATTAATTCACTGACTGTTAAATAAACACTGAGGAACAAAATCACTTTACTATGCATTTGTTCAAAGGTGTATCGCTACACCTCATTTTTAAGGTTGTTGTTTCATATCTAATTCACTAGGTAATTGTCCTAAATTCATTTGGGTGTGTCAGCCAGCATAGAATCGTGAATTAACAAAGTTATTTTTGCCATAGGCTACACAAAGATCAAACAGTTTCATTTTAGGCTTTGAAGGATAATCGTTATTTAGAAGTTACAAGAGTGGTTATGTTCAATCAGGTGATCAGTGTAGGAAAAGACAAAGAATGATTAGGGAATAATTAAATTATCAGTATTAATAATAATAATGATAAAATGAAGTTCATAATAAGTGATAAAGTTTTGTGTATTTTATGTAGAGAAATGAAATACTGTAAAAGTTTGATAATTGCATCTTCTCTCACCACTGCTCCACTTATATTATTATACAAGCTGTGGGAATTAATTATTATTCACAGCGGGTGGCTTTAGGCATGCATATATATATATATATATATTATATGCATGCCTAAAGACGGCACATAATTACAGGATTAAAATGAAATGCCCAGAAGTATTATGGGAACAAACTGAAGCATGAACTTGTGTACTCAATAATGCCAATGACTGTCAATTATACACTGCTCATAAAGTTTATCTATGATTTTGCCACATACAAAAATAGAGATATTTTGCTTGACCTAATGAATGTAAATATTTGTGCGTGTATATGTATATCGCATAGCCTACTTTTCTCAGTAATACCTACTGCAGCATTCTGCTTTCATCTCTTGTTTCTTTTTATATGATTAAAGACTAATGAAGTAAATTGAAAAAGTCTTTCATCCTGTTTCATTTTTAATCATGTGATAAACTGTGTCACAGTGTCATTTGGCAAAAACAAATTATTGTCAAAACATTTCATTTTCTGTTCTTAACCAAATACTTTTCAGAGTTTTAGTAGAGATGATAGCTTGAAACTTCAACTGAAAAAGCTTTTGAATCTCATGGAAAATTTCCACTCATATTATTCTGCAAATGTGAAACATGATTTTGACTGCGTGATGTTGGCATTGTAACTATATTTTTGACTACTATTTTATTAAAGGTAGTCAAGTAAAACGCTCAGAGTAAAAAGTATAATATGCGATCATTAAATCCAGTTAAATATTAATTACGGTGTAGAAGGTAATCTGGAATTTGTCTGTTAGGTCTGCGGAAATCACGAGTTTTGATATATGGGGCCAACCTTGTGAGGTTGTTTTACGCACCACTAGTGTCAGTGCCCACCACTCAACACTTTCCACTGTTACCCAGTTACGAAGTCAGATAAATATGTGACACCTGATAAAGTGCAACACAAACAATAATGTGTCAGTGTACAATAGCACTAACTGACATAATAAATTTGTGTTCGCTTTCAGGGATTCGATTGACTGATATCATTCGGAGAACCACTAAACTATAAAAATACTGGAAAACTCTTTCGCCTTAGTTTGAGAATCTTCGGCGGCACATACCTATGACTCCACTGAGAGTCGAACCCAGAACCTTCAGGTTACGAGATGAGCCCAATAACCATTCACATACTTGGGTAGAAGCCGTTGGCCCATCAGTTATAACTTCTACCAGCTGGCGATAAAAAGCACCAACATCAACCAGTGTCGTCGACGACTACCTACTCTGACACCTGACATATAGGTCACCAATGGCCACTGACTCTCACTAGGACTCCAGGCTCTCCATCATGTTATGAATGATTGGTAAGAATTAGACTATATTTCTCCATTAGATTTATTTTCAACTGTGGGTATGCAGGGATTTGATTTACGGCAAGCCATATTACTGACCCATAATGTTGGCTGCGTGGATGAATTCTCGTCGATGACATATATATATATAGACAATAATTTCACAGTCTATTCATACTGACACATTACTGATTTTTAGAGCCAATAAAACTAACCGCAATTGAATGTCGTATCAGTAGGCGTACAGAAGCTGGACATTCAGATTCATCAGTATGAAAATAAACTACTTAAATAACTAACTTGACTATTTAGTTAGTTGCTTATCAACTAAATGATGGGCAGATCAACAAATGAAAACTGATAAATTTAAAAGTTAACCTGACTAACTTATTTTTTCTGTTCATAAATGGAGTATTTTTTATTATTGTTTCCTTGGGTTCCTAGTGGAACATAGGGCTTCAAATGCACGCCTCTACTTGCTTCTGTCTTCTCCTGTACTTTTCAATTGCATCCATGTTAATCCATACTGTTTCAACTCCTCTTCACATGATCTCCTCCATGTCACCCTTGGACGTCCCACTCGCCACTTTCCTTTCGGGTTCCACTCGAGGGCCTGACGCGCGATATCACCCAACGGCCTCCTCAGCGAGTGTCCAATCCATCTCCACTTTCTCCTGCATATTTGTTGGGCGATTGGTTCTTGTTTCGTTTGTTCCCATAGTTTCTTGTTGGTGATTCTTTCCGGCCATCTGATCTTCAGTATAGAACAAAGACAGTTGTTGATAAAGGTTTGCAACCTGTTGAAAATATTCTTTGTGACCCGCCAAGTTTCTGATCCGTATAGAAGAACTGCCTTGACGTTTGTATTGAAAATCCGAATTTTGTTGTTGATGCTGAGTGACGAAGATTTCCAGATTGGTTTCAGGTTGATGAATGTGTTTCTCGCCTTCCCGATTCTCGATTTGACATCCTCGTCCGTTCCTCCTGTAGTTGAAACAATGCTCCCTAGATAAGTGAAAGAAGTAACCTCTTTCAAATCCCTCCCGTTGATGGTGATTGGCGCTGGATGTTGCTGCTGTTGTTGTTGTCGGTTGGTTATTTTCATAACCTCCGTCTTGTCTATGTTCACCTGGAGTCCTGTCTTTGCTGCTTCTTCGACCAGTTTGTCGGTTTTCGCTTGTAAGCCTTCGATTTTGTGTGACATCAAACATAAATCATCCACGCGCGAAATCCAGGTCTTCTAGGTTCTTCACGTCGGTCGGTCCAGGATATCCCTGTCTTCTCGTTTCCCACTGTCTGACACATAATCCAGTCCACCACAATTAGGAATATCATTGGCGATAATAAGCACCCTTGTCTGACTCCTGTGTTTACTCCAAACGCTTCGCTGAGTTTTCCGTTGTGGATCACTTGACATGTGCCATTGTCGTACAGCTGTTGAATAAAATTGATGAATATTTGGGGTACGCCGTAGTACTCGAGTAGTTTCCAAATTACTTCGCGGTCAACGCTGTCGAAGGCCTTCTCAGAGTCCATAAAGTTGAGGTAGAGGTTTGATTGCCATTCCATGCTTTGTTCGATGATGATACGTATAGTTGCAATTTGGTCAGAACATGATTTGCCTTTCCTGAACCCAGCTTGTTCTGGTCGGAGTTCTGTATCCAGTGCGTCCTTTATTCTCTCCAGGATGATGTGACTCAGGATTTTACTTGGCGTCGACAGGAGCATGATTCCTCGCCATTTCTTGCAGAGTCCTAAGTCACCCTTCTTTGGTAGTTTCATTAGGTAACCTTTCCTCCATTCAGTAGTCACCTTTCCCTCCTTCCATACCTTTTGCCATAATGGAATCAGAATATCTGTTGTCGTCTCTGGGCCCGCTTTCAGTGTTTCAGGGGGTATTCCATCTGGTCCAGCTGCTTTTCCAGCTTTCAGAAGCTTGATTGCATTCAAGACTTCAGCTTTCGTTGGAGAATTGGTGTCAACTTGCAGTTGTATGCGCGCTGTTGTTGGTATTTCTGGACGGGTTGCAGGTGGTGGTCGGTTCAAGAGTCCTTTGAAGTGATCCACCCATTGTTCAATCTGTCTTTCTTCCTTGGTAATTGGGTTCCCTTGGCCGTCTTTTATAGGTTTCACTTGTGTTGATCTCTTCCCGGATAGAGACTTGGTCATCTGATATAGTGTCCTCAGGTCCCTTTTGCCTGCTGCCTTCTCAGCTTCAGTGGCCAGGTTGTCGCAGAATTGTCTTTTGTCCTTCCTGGCACTCTTCTTCACTTCTTTGTTCAGTGCTGTGTAAGTTAAACTCAGCATCTCCTTCTATTGTCCGTCTTTGCATTGAATCATTTTCTCTTTCACCAATCTCCTCTCCTCTATTAGCTTCCAAGTGTCTGTTGAGAGCCATTCCTTGTCTTGTTTCTTCTTTCTTCCTAAACCTGTTGAACACCTTTCGTTGAAAATCACCTTCAGAGAGTTCCAATGGTCTTCCACGGATGATTCCTCAGTGGTGCCACGTAGTGTTTCCTGCTTTGCTCTGACAGTTGCAGTGAAAGTGTCTTCTGTGGTAATGTCCTTCAGTTTTTGCGTGTTGAACTTGCATTGTGGCCTATCGCCAGCTATCCTCGAGGCTTTTACCTTCACCTTGAAAGTCCCTTGTACTAGATAGTGGTCTGAACCCACATCTGCTCCTCTCCTCGATCTTGTGTCCAGTAGGCTCCGTCTCCACTTCCTTGAGATTGAAATGAAGTCTATCTGGATTTTGGTGTGTCCATCTGGTGAAATCCATGTCACCTTGTGTATATCCCTGTGTTTGAACACACTGGCACCAATCACCAAATCATCATAAATGGAGTAATATATTAATATACAATCTGGACGGTAGATATACACTGCACTGCTTGTAATAATTGCTTCTCACTTTCGGTGCGTTGGTGGTTCAGCGGTGAAATGCTCGCCAACCACGCACATAGTTCAGGATTCGATCCCCGGCCGTCGCACTGCTTTACTTTTCCTAGCCAGTAGTAAGACTGGTAATGAGAGAAGGTTGGGAGAAATGCTAGCAACCTCATGTTGTAAAAATAGGACTAGTGCTACTGAAACATCAAAGCTCAATCTTGAAGCCCAGTGTTCCGATGGGATCACAAATTGAAATAAATATAAATGATTATCTTCACAGAAAATTTTTGCTCTGAAGACGAGTATTAAGAAGATATTTCAATTTAATAAGAAGCTAAAAAATTAGGGGGATAAAAATTTTAAGCATAATTTGACGTTTCTTAAACAAACCACGTTTCTATTTTAAAGATTGAATGATGAATTTATTTTGTCATTCTGTACATTACACAGAATCGAAAATTTTACTGGACCTCATTATAAGACAGATAGCTGTTGAAGAATTACTTCTCTTGTTTGCTTGCCTGTTTGTTTCTGTTTTAACACCACAACAGAAGCCATTACTCTGCATGACATAATTTAGGGTGAGGTATTCACTACAAGGATAGAAGTGGGTCTGTAATTCGCATGTTTGTTAAGATGTATTTCACCTATCCAGTAGTTTGTTTTTGTTTTTCAATTTAGACATATTAATCTTATTCATACTGGGATTTGTTAATTCCATCAGTAGTCCAATGCATACATAACTACCTGTTTTATAAACACTGAACTGAATTAGCTTTATATAAGTAAATTTGTAATTCACCATAAACAAGTAGGAACGATGCTAATATCATTTTAGTAGTCCTATCACGTACCCATTTTCTCAATAATAATTAGTACTTTCATTCTCAGACTTAATGAAGCAATTAATACTATTCTACATCAAGATTAACATGATCAATCTTTTCATAAGTTAACACACCGCCCCCATTTGTGTCTATAAATGCTTCACTGAATTGTCAAACTTAATAGTGTAATTAACAACATTTGTATCACAGCACAATGGGTATTCATACTTATTTAAACAGTTTCTTATATTTCTAATATATGATTTGCTGACTATATGGACTGAAATATTCTAAAAGAGGTATAGCATATATCGTTTTACTGTCAGATTATTGATAGTTTTCACATGTCTTAGTATTAAAGTGACGTAATCAACATGTTGTTATTTATAGTGTCACTTGGCAGACCTTTGCCTATACTACTATTGTCTCAGAATCAATATATGACCTATGACTACACTTTTTGTAAAGTTCCCTTTTAAACGAGAGTTATCCAAGTGAATGACTCATGCTTAGAAATTTTATCTGTGAGTAAATGCGATAAGATCCAGTACAAAAAAGTACTACAAAGCATTTCTTAACATCCATTTTTTTGCGATAATTTGAAATATTTACTCATCATATACTACTTGCTTGGGATTTCAGTAGAATGTCAGCTATACCCTTAGGATTATATGTGACACTACAAATAAAACATACAGTATGTATTGATGAAGCGATAATCGGGGTAAGTATTATTACTATTGGTTCTCAAATAAATGCAGGAATGAAAGCCATTAGTTCATTATCGTAAATTTATTTTAATGAAACTAAATATCAACAGCTAAGCAATCATTTTTAGATGTTCAAAAATATTTTTGACTTTCTAATGTAATTCACTTTTGTTTGTTATCACTAAGCCAGTATTCTTTAGTAGTAACGTTCTACAAGCTTGGAATAGTTAATGAAGTCAGCTATACTGAGGAAAAAATTTATGTATAAATTATCTCACTAACCTTGCCAAATTGGCTAAAGTATTCACTGAGTTCTTCATTTGTAGTCTGAGTTGCAACTCCACCGATAAATACACGTTTAGTTTTTGTGGATAACTATAGGGTAGAAAAAGCAAATAAATAATTGAGAATAAATTTTAAATACGATTAAACGAAATTGTTTTTCAGTCAGCAAAGTACATTCTTTCCTAAAGGATTATAAAGTAAGTTATTATGTTAATAGTCAGAAATTTATTAAAGTAGTTAAATATTTTATATTGCTGTTTGTCTACTATAGATTAAACTAAGTGTACTATTATTCGAAGGTGAAGAAAGGCGCCGGATATTTCAGTGATGATTGTTTGTTTCCTGGGACTTGGTGTCAGCAATAGGGTGTTGAGATATTCTTTCAACTTTCCATATCAACGAAGTAGTTGGCGCACTTCAAGGGTATTAGGAAAAAGAAAGACTATAAAAATGTACATTTTACTAAATCTAAATGTATCCTGTGCAAAATTATATCTTGAAGAAAGAATAAAAGTAGGGGCATTGATATTTCCAACTTTACTGTCGGTTCATTCTTTGTTCATACTGTCTATTCTTCGAACAGTTCTACTCTTATATCGTACGGTTCATGAACTCCTTTAGGGCTACAATAATTTGAAACAGGAATTCCAAATCACTGGTAATAAAAACGAGCATAAGCCCATTTGAGCTAAACATATTCTATAAGTAACGCAAATGGATTTCTTAAAGTGACTAACGCACAAGTAACCACACCTATATCGTTGCCTTTAAACCCCTTCCTTGATTTTAAATAAAACTGTTGCGTCATGCACACACGTATGGTGGTAATCACCTCTGAATTAATTGTCTCGCCTAAATTACCTTTAAATGATAGGAACATTTGGAATTTAGTGTATATTTTTAGGTTACACAATATTTAAACGTCACTATCTAAAAATGACACAGGTTACTGTAGTGGAAATATCCCCCATATAACACACGTCTTGACATCTGTTTAATAATGAGATTATTTTAGATAGTTTTCCACTGATAGACGATGGCTGGTGCTGACTCAAAATGACATGAAAATCTACTATTCAGGCAGTTTTTCGAAACATATATGCATGAAAATTGACTAAATCCAATTATAGTGATTTTTCAAACAAAAAGTGATGTAGTTCGGCAGTACTTTTCCTACTCTAGACTAAGCGTAGGAAAGCGTTACTGAAGACAGGCAGCAAATGAAAGCAAACGCTTTCAGGTAATCTGGTTGGTTGAAAACAACAGTTTCCTGTACATCATTCAAGCTATCGATCTATGCATCTATTAATAATGACTGTCAGTCTGCATCAGAATATAGCTTGGGAGTGAAATATAAGGAAAAGTGTGAATGAATCGAAATTTTTTATGTGCCATAGAATATACGTCTACTTTCATTTAAACCTTGTTTTGTGTGGTCATCATGCACTAAGTAGTATAGGACTGTTAGTAATGATGTTTACTGCCTTATTTCCTACTTTCAAAAAATTCAAATGCGTTGTTATCAGGTTTATTATTGATATTTTTAAAATTTTATTTGTTCCATCATTTCTACAGTGATAACAATGCTTTATTTTAAAATCTTATTAAATAGCCTCATTAAACTAAACTGAATAATTCGACTTATCAGGGAATTAACTCAACCGATACGGTTATGTATCCTGCAGAATACAGGATGCACACTAAAAGTAAGCATTCGAATAAGTCTGAAAAGTGTTAATCTGTTTGAGTGTAAAGTATTCTTTTTAGATTTTGAATATTTTTCCACAATATAATATTATTGACCGTCATATTAATTAGAGGAGATAATGGAGTAATCTAATTGCCAAAATACTGTATTGAGCATAATTCTTTATTGTTTATTTTACTTGAACTAATGCTAACACAAATAAAACAAAAAGGAAATTTGTAAAACAAAATGACTCATGAATATCATCTGTTCTAATCTGTCTAGATGGTGAGACAATAATCATAACAAAGAAATAAAGTGTTCTCTAAGAATCTACGTATACTGAATGTGGATTTGTGTAAATAAAAGCTAGAGGACAGATTGATAAAGATGGTTTATACGTAAATTATTTACAAAGTGCTATGGTAATGAACAGATAAAGTCTAGCGGTTAAAATGTATGTTAAAATATGAATACAGTTTTAAAAAAATATGAAAAGTAATTGGATTGTTTATCAGAGCAGAAAGAAATCAAATGCCTGTAAATAACCAGCTTGGAGTTAAGGTGCTGCTATGGTGAAATTAACTTCATCTTCCTTACAATCGGCTACAATGAACACATTTCATTTTGCGATTACATAGTATTAATTATTGTTGATAAGAAAGAACAGTTACCCTAAACCTTTATATTTTCACTCAAATGAAATCACTAAAACCTAAAAAATTAACTACAGATATTTATCCATTATGAAATTTGTAGTAGTACTAATAGCAGTGAATAAGAAGAGACCAACTAGTTATTCGTTAACCTCTAGATATTCTTGTATATAATTTATGCTTGCTGAGGTCAAGAAAAATAGAGTAGAAAAAGTTCAGTGGATAAATAATGAAAATAATGATTAAGTAAAACCAGTTCTTTCTTTTAACTTTTTCTCTAACTATTAAATTAGAGCTTGAACTCATCTAGTCAATAGTTAAACTAAAAGTTGATTAAATAAAACGTCAAGGGATTAAAAGGAAAAAAACAAGAGAATAGGTAATTATCACTGGTTAGAATTTGTAGGACTGGACGAACACATTAAGAAATGAATGTATTCGCATTTTCAGTGGATTATAATGGTAAAATTACTACAAAAATGAGTTTCAAAAATATTTTTATCTTTCTAAGAATTTCAATTGGTTTTACTTAAACTTAGGAATATCAATGTATATCGATGCTTGTTATATAAACATAGCCGCCACATTCTGAAAACATCTTTTCCACAATTTTGTCAGCTCTTATGAAAACGACAGCTGCTAAAAAAATTTTATTTAACACATTTTCAGATTTTAAACTTTATTCTGATTAATTCCAGTGTAGATTCTGTCAAAGGACCGAATCAAGTTAGAGAATAGTCATAATTAAGCAGCAGTTGATAATTGTTTCACCCTAGTTTGGGACTCTTTATCAGTACACATCCACAGCAGGAATGGAAACCAAGATCTTCAGACTGTGAGATAAACAGGTTGAACATTCAGCCACTAGGTTAGAAGTATAATTTGTGTGAATTCATGGTATATCTCTACTACCAAACGCTGCTGTTGATGAGTGTCACTGCATACCAGATGTAGTGAACTCCACCAGTCTAATGACCTTTGGTTTTCAATAATTCTTGAACTGATGTCGCTACAAAATCTTTGTCAGACTTACTTGTTAGTGGTCAAAACTTTTTCTGTGATCATTTTTTTCCTCTGGTTTAACTGGTGGTTGGTGACTAACAGTGGAATCCAGGATGCACATTTTGTCCTGTTTGGAACTCGTCACTGGATATACCCGCATTGCGCAGTGAGTGATGATGTTCCCACCGGGGTTTGAACCTGTCAACCGGAGACCGAGCAATTCGGCCCAATCAATCGACGGGAAAATCTAAAATTTAATGAAATTTTTTTCTCTAGGCCTAATTAATAGAGTTAAAGTAATCTAATCAGTGAACACTCTATTATCAGTTTATACAAGTAGTGAAGACTGGAAATCACAGGCAGTTATTTTGTGATTTATTCACAGTGATAATAATACTGAGAATGAATTAAATAACGATCTAATGATCAAGTGAAAAGGAAGCCCATTAAGATTTCAACGACGTTAAAAACAGTAGAACAATACAACTTCAACTGATAACTGAATAAATATAGTGAACAAAGAGAATTTGCATATGATACACATTTGTCTACATTTTTTCGTTGTAAAAATGCAGAAATGAAACGTTTGTCGACAAAGTCTTGATTTATTGACCAGATGAGGATTTTGATTTCGCAAAGATATGCATCAATTGTAAAATGATTAGATAAGGGCAGGTTGAGACGCGTTTTTCTTACTGATGAATTTACAAATCATGAACTTCTACTGTATGTCAGCTAATTCAACTTACAACAATGAATATCTTGTTACTCGAATACTAGTGACTTAGTACAGTTCATTTTAAAATTCATTTAAACAGGTCCAGTTGTTAGGATATTTATGTTACGCCTGCCAGGATACTTCCATTAATAACGAGAAAATACATATTACATCATATGGCCTAAGCAGGCTTTCTGTTTAGCCTTAACATCATTGGTGATTGGCGAGTTTTTCTATTGAAATAGTATTTCAAGTTTTTAAGTGAGTTAGGTTAGAGTCTCTTCAGACAGGACAGTAGTTTTCATTTTTAGGAATTCTATAAACATTTTGTTATTCATTATTTATTTATTTATCCATCCTGCATCTGTTCTTGTCTTCTTTTATATACAATCTCAGAATACATCTAACTATGCATTAGTTTCGTATTCTCTGTCGCTTTCATTTTCCTTGAAAGAAGAGCTGATAACAAAACATTTTCTGTTATCATTTTGCCATTAGTCTGAAAATTTTAGCTGTATGTTCAACAGTAAACGTCGAAAAAGGCGACTTGCTTTCTGAGTAATCCGTACAACTGTCTTCATGGAAATAGATAACTTAGCAAAAAAGGTATAGAAGGAGAAAAATCAAGTTTTCATAACACATCATCATTTTATTTACTTTAATTCTTACATGAACACTGATCCGTAATATAACAAAACCTGTGGTAGACACAGATTCTAGCCTCAATCAGCCTTTTAAGAACTTTAAAGCTTTGGCATTATAGATTCCTTACTCTTTCAACAGATAACGGTTGATCAGACAGTTATGAACTTCCATCTGGATAACTTAGTAAATGTTTCAAGAAACTTTTATGCTACTAGTGAATATTGTATTGTTATATTATTATCTGATTTAGTTATCTGAAGGTGAGGGATAACTTGCGGGCTTCCTTAATCAGAAGCCTTGTGTTCCCTTATTGACTTAGTCGTTGGAGCGAACTGGTGACGAATATTAATATTGTTTGGTTTCCGGTAGTTCTGCAACTGAT